TGACCATTTCTATCATTGACCTGAAAAATTAATTCATGTGAACACATCAAGGTTGCTAGTAGATAATGTGTGGAGTCTCTGGGTGAAACCTTTATCATTTAAGATAGGTCTACAAAGGAAAATAAATTGTTCTACCAAAAAAAAGACATGCACTTGCATGTTTATCACAACACTCTTCACAATAGCAAAGACATAGAATCAATCAAAGTGCCCACTGACAGTGGACCGGATAAAGAAAATAGGGTTTATATGCACCATGGAATACTATGCAGCCATAAAAAGGAACAAAATCATGTACCTTGTAGCAACATGAATGTAGCTAGAGGCCATTATCCTAAGCAAATTAATGCAGGAACAGAAAACCAAGTACTGTATGTTCTTACTAAGTGGGAGCTAAACATCAAGTACTCATGCACATCAAGATGCAAAAATAGACACTGGGAACTACTAGAAGGGAGAGAAAGGGAGAGGGCAAGGATTAAAAAACTAACTATTGGGTACAATGCTTAGTCCCTGAGTGACAGAATCAATCATACGCCAAAGCCCAGCATCATACAATATTCCCATGTAACAAACCTGCATATGCACCTCCAGAATCTAAAATAAAAGTTGAAATTATTTGTAATAAATAAATAAAATGGGATTATTAGAGATGTTCCTTAACCCAGAGAATCACTCTGATGGTGTGAATTTTAAGTACCTGTACCATGCAAGCCTGTAAGAAATATTTATTAGGGAAAACATGAAAATTTAGATACGAGTTGAAGAAAGAATGCTGGACAGGATTCTTTCATAAGCTGGGAGACCCGCTGTGCCGTTTATAAGCTGGGAGACCTTGGCCAAGTCTCTCCACCACCATAAGCTTCAATGTGCTCTCATCTGAAGAAAGAAAAGGAGTATTTGATGACCGCTGAGTTCCCTTCCAATCCTGTGATTTCAAAGACACCAAACTCTTCTGGTCTCTTCAAGTCCTCTACTTCTATATTTTAGTTCGTTTTCACTGGAAAAAATAGAATGTGTCACTTCTTAGAATATAGTTTTAGCCTCAAGATTTCTTACAAAGTATAACCCACTGTTGGGATTACCATTGTAAAGAGTCTGAGAGAGGAGACAGAGACAGAGCAGGGGTTGGGGGAAGAGGGAACACATATAATACCACCATGTCTGTGTATAGACAGGAAATGTGCAATACATCTCTCATGGTCATGTGGGCCATCTCACTCACTGTCATAATACAGGTAAATCAAGCTTGGTACAATCTACACTGTTGAAAAGCAGCATGTAAGCCCAATGTTGGTCATTTAAATTATAAAAATACTCTAGAGAAATTGCTATTAAAAAGAATCTTTTAATATCATTTGTGATGCAAATGAATGCCCCATATTTCATTTTCATGACAATCTGGGTTTGCATTAATTTATATTTTAAAATTATAGCCAATATTTACCAAGGGTCCATTCTGTGTCAGGCTCTGTGCCAAAAAGTTTGCATACATTATTGCATCTAATAACAGCCTCACAAAATTATTCCTGATTATCACTATTTTACCAAAGAAGAAAATGCAGCTCAGAGAAGTTGAGTGATTGACCCAAAGTCACACAGCTAGTAGGAAGAATGAGAAGACAAACCTACATTTATCTATTCTAAGAGCCTAAATTCTTAACCACTACTCTATACTACCCAAAAAAAAAAAAAAAACTGAAACAAAGTCTGCTCTGGGTACATTTGGATTCTAGGGGCTTACTTTGTCCTGTAGCTTCTATTATTATTTTTTTTTTTTGATACTGAGTCTCATTCTGTTGCCAGGCTGGAGTACAGTGGCATGATCTCAGCTCACCGCAACCTCTGCCTTCCTAGTTCAAGCAATTCTCCTGCCTCAGCCTCCCAAGTGTCTAGGACTACAGGCACGTGCCACCACGCCCAGCTAATTTTTACTTTTTTGTATATTTAATAGAGATGCAGTTTTACCATGTTGGCCAGGATGGTCTGAATCTCCCGACCTTGTGATTTGCCCGCCTCAGCCTCCCAAAGTGCTAGGATTACAAGCGTGAGCCACTGCACCCGGCCGTACCTTCTATTTTCTTAGTCAGAGTCCCCACACCCATTTCTCAGCTACTGAACCTTGTTTACAGGCCTGATAAGTGGCAAGGGGTTTTCAGGTATAGATTCTGCTCCCAGAAGCCCAGGAATGTGAGCCAAAATAGGCCGTGGAAGGCTCAAAAGAGGGTGGCCAGGCCAAGAGAAGGCTCATAGCCATGTTATCCGGGGACAGTGGAAGAAGTGGACAGGCTTGGACTGAAAAGAAGAAGCCTCCAGGGAAACATGTGCTAACAGAGTCTTTTCACAGCTCAGCTGTCTCATTTGAAGAAGTCGCTTCAGCCAGAAGCAGCAGACTAAGTACATTCAGCAATGCAGATCGATTTTTAAAATACAGGAAGAAACAGAAGGTGATCTGTAGCACAAAGTCATATATTTAAGTTTTAAAACTCTATGACAAAAAAAGTACATGTTTTCAAAGACCTAGAAATAGAAATTCCATTTGACTCAGCAATCCCATTACTGGGTATATATCCAAAGGATTATAAATCATTCTGTTATAAGGACACATGCACATCTATGTTCATTGCAGCACTGTTTACAACAGCAAAGACCTGGAACCAACCCAAATGCTCATTGATGATAGACTGGACCGGGAAAATATGGCACATATACACCATGGAATACTATGCAGCCATAAAAAATGATGAGTTCATGTCCTTTGTAGGGACTTGGATGAACCTGGAAACCAATCATTCTCAGCAAACTGACACAAGAACAGAAAATCAAACACCACATGTTCTCACTCATAGGCAGATGTTGAACAATGAGAACACATGGACACAGAGAGGGGAGCAACACACACTGGGGTCTGTCGGGGGGACAGTGGGGAATGGGGAGTTGTGGAGGGATAACATGGGGAGAAATGCCAGATATAGGTGATGGGGAGGAAGGCAGCAAACCACATTGCCAAGTATGTATCTATGCAACAATCTTGCATGTTCTTCGCATGTACTCCAAAACCTAAAAGGCAATAAAATATATATATATATATATATATATATATATTTTTTTTTTTTTAAAGCACATGTTTTACAAGAGTTCCATACAAATAGAAAAATATACATCATGCACTTTAGGATGGTTGCCTATGCCGAAGAAGTAAGAGAGCTGGGAAGAGTCAAAAGGAAGAAATAAGTGGCATTTGCCTGATTTTATGTCATGCATGAGGACCACGTGTGTTAAGCCCCAGGAGATAACGCCAGGATCAGCAGGTGAAACTCAAAGAGCAGTATTCAAAATAATCCCAAGCCCGCACACTTTACACTCCACGACGCCATTGTCTCTGGCCCGAACTTTCGCAGCAGCCTCTGACTCCTCTCCCTGAGTTCACTCTTTTTCCCATACAATCTATTTGCAGAGCAAATTTTCTATAACTTAAGTCAAATCATACTAGGACCCTCCAGTGTCTCTTATCTTGTTTAGAGTAAAATCCAGTATCCTTACAAAGGTTCCCAGGGCCCCACAGTTCTGGCTTCCACTATCTGGCTCCTATTCCTTTTCTAATCTCATATCTCACCATCCTCCCCTTTGCTTTGCCATTCCAACCACACTGGCCTCTTCACTGCTCCATGAACCTGCCTCAGGGCCTTTGCACTCACTGTTTCTGCTGCTAGAATGCTCTTTCCCTCGATACTTACATGGCTCATTCAGGACTCCACTTGAAAGCCAGTTGTCCGTGAAGCATTTCCTGACCATACTAGTTAAGATTGCAAGAGTCCGCCCCAGCATTCTCTTTCTGTCTTACTTATCCCTGTCATGATCTTCATTTTACTTGCCTTTATTCTGTCTCTTGCTATGAGGTTGCTGTCTATTTTGTTCACTGTTATATCCTCAGAACTTAAACAATACCTGGAACATAGTATCCACTCAATAATAGCATTTGAATTGATTTTTGTTCAACGTAAAAAATTTCCTACAGAGTTGTCCATAAGTGAAATGAGATATCTCATAAGGTAGTGAGCTCCCCATCTCTGGATGTATTCAAGACTGTGAATGCATTCAAGATGTATTTAAGGCTGTGATCTTTTGGTAAAGATACCGAAGAGAGGATTCAAGCACTAGGTATTTGATTGGACTAGATATTAACCCAAGTTTCTGCCAACCTTGAAATGTCATAGTTCTGTGAATCACCACAAAGAGGTTAAGACTCTTTAAACTGGACCCAGGGAGGTCAGCAAATGCTTAAGAAACCAGGGTCATATTTTCTCTAATCTTCTCTGACTAGTGAATTGAGCACCAGTAGCTTTTGGTTTGGGGGGACAGGGATTATGTTGTTTTCATCTCTAATGTGAGACTTTTAAGCCCCATGAATCTATTTGGAAACATTTTTTCTTGAATACAAAAAAGCAGCATACATCTAATTGCAAATGAGAACTATCAGAACAAGCTCATGTTATCAAATAACTGTCTGATCTGAAAAAAAGTCATCATCTCACGTAATTTAAATTCTTGCCCTTTGCTCCCTTGTGTATATTTTTGCATTAAAAAATCTGCTTAAAATCAGTTCAATTCTTCCCTTTTGGATGGATTATAAAACAAAAACATGACAGGATTACAAAGAGGATGAGAATGACTGATAGTTGTGATTTCTTCTACAGAGTTTCTTGATTTTGACGTGTGCTAAGAAAGTTCTCTTCCTTTGGAAACGCCAGGAGAATGTATGGTCTAGGGTCTGTACAAATTAGTGATGTCACCATCTGCCAGAGAAGAAAACACTTTGATGTTGGGGGGAAACCCCATAAGAGCCGAGGCAAGGGTCTGAGCCCTCAGTCTGTTCTCATATAAATATTGAATTATAAAAGAATTAGAGATAAAGCTATATAGTTATTCCTATATATAAAATCATAAATAATCATATAGTTATTCACACGTAATTATAAATATATACATATATGCAATCATATAATCTTTAATTTTACTAATAAGTCTGAGGTCATGAAGTATGGAACTGAAGTGGCATTGGAAAAGAGGTAACCCTAAGGCAAGATGCTCTAAGTCCTCTGTCACGCCCACATAAGGGCTGCCGGAGTGCGCCTCAGCTGTGAAAGTGCCCGCTGTTTAGCCAGCTAGGGAAGGAGACGTCCAAGGTGGCCAAGATGTCTCCTTCCTCAGTGGAGTCAGGAGAAAACTCTGCTCTTCCAAGCTCTTGTGATCTGTCAGGGACGCCCTCGGACATCCAGGGTCTTAATTGTCTCTACATGATGCTGTGCTTCAGCGGTCACGTTCCACGTCGACTTTCATGTTCCACTTCTGCACCTGGTTCCTCTCTTTCTTCTAAGAGAAGAATTAGTAATTGTAACATAAATCTTAGTGACCTTGCTATTTCTTGACAAGTATGAAAAAAAGTGCTGACACATTAGGTTTTCCCCGCGCCTCGGCTCCTTGAAAATCCTGAGCCCCTGTCTCCAAGACGCATGATTTACCTGACACTACCACTGACCACTATTACCTCAGCCTGCCTACCCTGCCCCCTGCTTTGTACTCAATAAAAGTCAGAGTGTCCAGGCACCCGGGGCCACTGCCGGCCTCTGCGCTTTGATTGGAGCCCTGGGCCCTAACTCTCTTTTCTCTATCTCTGTGTCTTGTGTCTTTATTTTCACAGTTTCTCATCTTCACACCTGTAGAGAGGGACTCACAGGACCCTGTAGGGCTGGACTTTACACTTTGATTTTATACGCATTGTTTTACAGTGATAAGAAAATTGCAGGACCCAAGAGACAGAGACCCATGCTTTACATCCTATAAAATGTGGGCTTAAGTATGATTCAGATATTTTCGCCCTCCCTTTGTCTCCGCTGGAAAGTGGGATTCTTTAATTGTGTGAACAATTCAGGGCTCCTATGGGTGACTGGATGAAGGGCAAGAGGAGTGGTCCTGTGTTCCCTGAAGCCAGAATTCTGAAGGCAACCTACATCCTACTGACAGCAGAGGAGGTGTTCCCTCCCTGTTTACAACTTTCCTCGGCATAGAGACAGGGGACCCATGGGAACATCCAATTACGTTTTTATTTCCCTTTAATGGCAGTGAAGGGCAGGTTTCTCCTACTACTTTTACAGTCCTTTCTAAACAAAGAAGGGGCTCTGAGTTTAAGATTTCTTCAGGCATTACATTTTCCTCCTGCTGCCAATTTGCAGTTTATTTCTGAAGAGAAGCCCACAGGTGTACCATAACTGAGACAAACAAGTGCCAATAATTGCCATTTGTTTAGCCCATCCCCTGCCAATGTAGGCATACATCAGGGGAATTTTTTCACTGATTTTTCCAATGTTGGGCTGCATAGCAGCCTATAGAATCACTGTTCCTCTTCCTGACATTTCCTCGTTTGTGCTCCCCACACCCATTCTGTCCCCATGGAGCAGTTCTTTATTCCACAGAACATGTGCTTTATTATAGAGATTGAGCACACTAAAAGAAAAACCTTCAACAGCCGCTCAACAGGGGGTCCTGGGCACCTCTCTGTGCCTAGCACTGCAGTCAGTGCCAAGGTAAAGATGGGGGTTGACGGTGGGCTGGGGAAGGCAGGCACTGTAAAGGGAGACACGTTTGTATACACATGGAGCTCGCAGTCTATTGGGCAGATGAGATTATTTTTATAAAAGAAAATAATTAGAGAATAACATAATATAAAAAATGCATAAAATGGAAAAGCACAGTCTGTGGTGTTTCATGCCATAAAAACAATGAGTATGGGCCAGGCGCGGTGGCTCATGCTTGTAATCCCAGCACTTGGGAGGCCAATGCAGACAGATCACCTGAGGTCAGGAGTTTGAGACCAGCCTGACCAACATGATGAAACCCCGTCTCTATCAAAAATACAAAAGTAGTAGGGCGTGGTGGTGGGTGCCTGTAATCCCAGCTACTTGGAAGGCTGTGGCAGGAGAATCACTTAAACCCCAGAGACAGAGGTTGCAGTGAGCCAAGATCGCGACCTAGCACCCCAGCCTGGGCAACAAGAGTCAAACTCCATCTTGAAAAAAAAAACAGTGAGTATGTTTGGCACTAAAGAAGACAAGATATGTGTGGTTTAACCTGGACTGGGCCTTGCATGACAGACAAAAGAAACAGAAAAGCTCACAAGATCAGACTCTAGATAAGCTCGGCAGAAGTCAGCTGGTCCACTCGCTCTGCCTTTCCTGTCGGCCTCCTTTCTGTGCTGTAACCACAGCTGCAGAAGGCCCACAAATAACTTCCCGGGGATTAAACATGCCAGATGTTTTTGTCCCACTGGATCGTTCAACACTTAGAACCCAATTCTCAGAAAACACAAAATTAAAATGCTGCAACTAAGCCAACAAATTCTCCCTTTGCTGCGGAGAGCTGGGTGGACTTCTACACATACATTTGTGAGAACATTTTCTGCAAAGGAAGAGTTTTAAGCAGGAAACAATTAGCAAGAAACTGTGGAAGCAAGTACAAGAGCAGAGCAAAAAGGCCCAGTGGCAGAAAAGTACAGAAGGAAGTGTGCTCAAATCCCAAGCAGAAGGAATCAAGACTCCAAGCACAATGCAGCCCCGTCCTGGGGATGGGTCTGACAGTCTCTTCCTGTTAAAGGTTTTATATCCAGGAAGTGCCATCTTCAGACCCCATGGGACAGGCCCTGGCTACATGACCAAGGGTACTTTTTTAACCTCATATGGAAAGCAGAACAATCCTACCTACCTTGAAGAGTCTGAATTTTGGATATAAGGTCTTCGTACAGAGCCTGAAACAGAAATTAATCAAGTGGAGTTTATTATTACCATTGTTAATCTTAATAATTTTAATATCGCCCTTCTTCTCTAGCAAAGCTTCTTACTTCTTTTACTTCTTTCTTTCCTACTTTTTTTTTTCTATACTCCAATAACTAGAAAGTTACATACTCAGATCCCCATAGGGTTTTCTTCTCCTGTTAGTGCTTTGGGTCATCCTGGTTTAATCAGTTCTTTTAAAGAATCACCAGCCATTCTTCTGGCTGACATTTTAATCAGGTTTTCCCAAGAATCCCAAAGGAGGGGGAAAATGGAATAGCAATGAAAAAAAATCCACTTTTCTCTACATGCCAGTAAATTATAACTCTGCAGTCGCTTCAGAAAAAGAAAAAAAGACACATGGTGGAACATTTTTCTGGCTGAAAAAAATTGACAAAGCCATGGAACCAAATTCTTTGCAGTATTGATGTGGTGGAGGCCAGGAACGGGGAACAAGTGCAATTCTGCAGAATCGTGTCCTCACAATTACTCTAACTCGATACCAAAAGTGTTCGCCGGACACCTCTGGGGAGGAGGAAAATGTCTGCTTCTCTCCACGAAACCTTATAAAGACAGAAAAGAGGAATGCCTTTAAGTATCCAAAATAGAAGAAAATATTCAATGACACAAAATACTCTGCTGCTCACAGTGTTTCTCCTTGAGGAAATCTTTCCAGCCCTGTGGTCAGGTTTCCCCTTCAAATCATCCTGAAGATCGCTCTAAAATGTCTGTTCTAGGGATGTGAGTCGGTATGACTGGAGGAAGCAGCAGAACAGGAGCCAGGCAGCCCGGCTGGTGTCTTAGCTCACCACTTCTCTACTCTGTCCTTTGGCAAGTTACTCAGCCTCTCCGAATCCACAGTCACCTTGTCAGCAAATCAGAGATACCAACATTACCTTCTAGTTCAGGCTGTGTGGGGGTTAAGCAGAGTAATGCATGCAAAGAGCTCAGCACACTGCCTGGCTCCTGGCATGGAAAGCACACATTCATCAGAGCTTGGTGGTGAGGTGCAGGGGCAGATGTAAGAGGAGGTAGCAATTAGGAAGCAAGACTGAACATGACGTCCTGACAGTGCCTGCAGCTCCCATCCTCCCTCTACCCCTCCCTATACCATGTTTATTGCACCCCAGATTGGAGCTATTAACCAACTAGTAACAATTACCACTTATATGAGCTTTCTAGAGCCACCATAACAAAGTACCATAGACTGGGTAGCTTCAACAACAGCATGTATTATCTCAGGGTTCAGGAGCCTAGAGATCAAGGTGTGGAAGGGTGGGTTCCTTTGAGAGCTATGAGGGAGAATCTGTCCCATGCCTCCCTCCTAGCTGCTGGGGTCTGCTGGCAGCCATCAGTGCCCTGGGCTTGTAGATGCACCACACTGATGTCTGCCTTCATCTTCACATTCTGTTTTCTGAACGTGAGTGAACCTATGTCCAAATTTCCTTTTTTCCTAGGGACAACAGTCATATTGGATCCAGGCCTGCCAAAGTGACCTCATCTTAACTAACTACATCTGCAACAACCTGCTTTCTAATAAGGTCACATTCCAAGGTACTAGGGTTAGGTCTTCAACACATAAATTTGCAGGGGAAAGAGAGGCATGACTTAATTCATAATGCCACTTATTAGCCCTGTGACCCTGGGCAAGTCACTTCGCCTCTGTGCCTCAGATTCCTGAGAGCTAGTGCAAAGACGGCTGCAAAGCGTGTTACACTCCCTACATCATCTTGGGTCTTGTCAGAGTGGTGCTGGCGGCCTGAACTTCCATGGCCTGAAGGCTTTCTCTGGGCAGCCAAAGTCCTGCCCATGCCACGCCAGGCTGAGAGTTCTGGAGGACTAATACTCACAGGGGTTATTTTCCCTTATAACATCTCAGTTTCCTCAAACTGACTTCAAGTTCCTACCTGCGTAACTGCTCACTGGAGAGGCAGCAAAGTGTAGTGTTTAGGATCATGAGCTGTCAATGAAACCCACCTGGATTCCCATGATGGTCCTGCCACGTTCTAGCAGTGTGATCTTGGGCATGTTGCTTGATCTGACTAAGCCTCAGCTTCTGCCTCTGGAAAATGAGCATAATGATAGCTTTTCTCTGAGAACTGGATAAGATAAAGCAGGTATAGCCAATACTATTAACAAGAGCTCATTAAAAGTTATTTATGATTCTTATTCATTTATTTATCTTTTTTTATTCTGTAAAGATGGGCCTGGGCATGCCTATGACATCTTTCTCTTCCCCGTGGTCTTCTTGTTACCTCTACTTCCCTCTAACATGCCTGCCATGCAGTAGGCACTCAGTAAATGCTTCAAAGAGTGAATGAATAAATACATGATGCGGGAAGATTTAAGCTATTACTATTCGCGTTTTATATTCTGTTTCCAGAAAGGATTTGAGCTGGTTGAGGAGTTATATGAGTCAGAGTTTACATATTCTGACACATAAACCCTGGAAGGTAAAACATACAAGCAATGATTCCAGAGAGCCCAAAATTGGGAGCATTAATTAATTAATGCTGACTCTCCCTGCCTGAGCAAAAGCCTTAGGCTAATAACATTCTGAAATTGCTTAAAAGCAGTTATAGTCACAAAACCAAGGTATACCAGGAATCCACTGGGAGCTCTAATAACATTACACCTGAGCTCTTTATGTCAGGAGGGAGCTCCAGAGACCACTCATGGACTGAAGCAAGATGGGGAAAAGCCTCACTCAGCAAATAGCACACCATTAACTTGGTGTGTGTGGATGGTACCCAGGAAGGCAGTAATTGAGCCCATAAAAAAATCAGAGTGGATAAACAGGCCGAAATTGGGGGAGGGGGCATGTAAAACTGCTGGCTCCTGAGGAAACTCAGAGTGAGATAAGTTGGAATATGTGGGTCACTATGGAAGCATTTTTAAGACAATACGCATTGAATCAATGGTAATAGTAGTGCTCAAATAACGTGATAGCGTCGTCATGATTTCATTGAAATAATGGCTGAAGTGCATCGTGTGCTTGCTATGTTCACCACACTGTCCTGGACACTTTAACTGTGTTTAGTGCTCATTTAAATCCCCCACAACAGCCCCACAAGGTGGGCTGCATGACTATTCCCAATTTACATTTGAAGGAACTCAGGCACACAGAGGTTATATTAGTCTGTCCTCATGCTGCTAATAAAGACATACCTGAGACTGGGTAATTTATAAAGAAAAAGAGGTTGGATGGACTTACAGTTCCACATGGCTGAGGAGGCCTCAAACTCATGGTGGAAGGCAAAGGAGCACCAAAATCACGTCTTACATGGCGGAAGGCAAGAGCATGTGCAGGTGAACTAGCCTTTATAAAACCATCAGATCTCATGAGACTTATTCACTATCATGAGAACAGAAGGGCAAAGACCCACCCCCATGATTCAGTTACCTCCCACCAGGTCTCTCCCACAACATGTGGAAATTATGGGAGCTACAATTCAAGATGAGATTTAGGTGAGGACACAGCCAAACCATATCAGAGGTTAAGTGCTTTGTTATTTATGTATTATCTCAGTCTTCATCACAAGGCTTTGAGGGAGTTATTATTACTTGTCCTCATTTTATACATATGAAAACTAAAGCACAAGGCTGGGCACAGTGGCCCACACCTGTAATCCCAGCACTTTGGGAGGCCAAGGCAGGTGGATCACTTCAGGACAAGAGTTCAAGACCATCCTGGTCAACATGGTGAAACCCATCTCTAATAAAAATAGAAAAATGAGCCGAACATGGTGGCACACACCTGTGGTTCCAGCTACTTGGGAGACTGAGGCAGAAGTTGCAATGAGCTAAGATCACACCACTGCACTCCAGCCTGGGTGAACAGAATGAAACCCTGCCAAATAAATAAATACACTGAAGCACAAAGGTTAATAATTTGGCAAGGGTCACACAGCTAGTAAGTACTAAACCAGAGCCAGCCAACTGACCCCAGAGTCGGTTGCTATGTGACCTATATTTAGAAATATATTTAGATTCACCTCAAAGACTATCTAGCATGAAATTTTGGTTTTGTGCTCAGTAATAATAGTAAATTTTTACATAGAGCTCACTATGAGCCAGGAACCATCTTAGCACTTTTAATAAGTAATTTATCCTTACAACAGCCCCCTGATGGAGGTAGTATATTATCCCCATTTTACAGATGAGGAAACTGAGGAAGAGAATTGAAGGGCCTGGCCCAGAGTCACAGAAAATAGTGGAGCCAGAGCTTTTGGATCCAGGCTTCTGGGCCCGGAGTCTGTGTTTTTAACCACTCTGCTCTCCTGCCTAAGAATGATGCATTGATCTATTGTGGACAATGTTGTGATCGGGAATGGTGGAAAAGAAAACAGCAATAGCAGTGAGTTTCCTTTAAGCCTCTTCTTATCACAGATGAGTATTCACATCATCATTATGTTTCAATGCCAAGAATTTCTCTTAAAATTGTTAGTCTAATGTGGGAGAAATTGTTCTTGCTCCCAAGAAAAAGGAAACATATGAATAGAAGCACAATGGTGTGTTTCAGATCACAAGATGCAGAGACGAGGCCATGTTGCATCCCACACACTTGTCATCTCCATCCTGAACCACAAAGCCGTGTGCCACCGGCAGGTGTGTAGCAGCCATCAGGACTGTTGATGCCGCCTGGGGGAACTAGAACTGAAGTTCCACTCCACCGTTCCCCCGCCTTTGGAGAGCAGGCCATTCCTTTATTTTTTCTATACCCTGCTGTTTCTTTTCTGTACACACTATTGTGAGAAGAGGCACATAAGGAGATGAAGCTGGGCCACGCTGGCCTGTTGAGAATACCTTTTGTAGCTATCCACAAAATGTGAATATGAATATGCTTGCCCCTGCTGACGACTGTGCTGATGGGGGATCCTTCTGAGCTGTAAGCGCCGCCTGCTCTCCCTGCTGCTAAAACATCTCCATCTGCAGCATGGGGTGGGGAGAGGCAGTCACAAAACATCAAACAGAATGGCTGGAAAGGACTCATCTCTTTTTGTATTAATGTTCATGCCAGGAGTGTTGGCTGGGCTTAGAGGCCTGTGTGCTCCAGTGGTGGTGTCTGTCCCACAGACAAGCCTTTTGACCCACAGGGTAGCCCATACTCTTGAGACGATCCTGTTTTCCTCCATGATCCCTGCCTGCTAAACCTGGTAAGATGAAGTCCTATGTAGAGAGTGCCTCTGTCTGCAAATCAAAGGAAGAGCACCAGCATCCAGACCTAGGGAGCCTCTACTGGATGCCCACTCCTGGCTTCCTATGTTATCTCAACACATATCAGTCACACTGTATTGAAATTCCCAGGGAACACAATGGCGGGTCTCACCCAATAGGCAGTACTGTCTTTGTGATCAGAAAATACGCGTTGTTTATTTTTGTTTCTGCAAAACTTGGCTGCCAGCTAATGTAAAGCATTCAATACATATCTGACGATTCTGGGCAGTGACTCAGTCTGGAGTGGTAGCAGCAGTAACAGCTAATGTTAAAAACAAAACAAATGGGGACTTCTTTTCATCATCATTCATTGAAAACCTGTTTACTGTACTGGACATTTTGATATGAATTCGCTCATTTTATACTCACAAGCAACCCTGTTATATAAAGAGCATAAATCTTATTTTGCCAATGAGGGACTGGAGGATGGGAGAGGTTAAGCAACTTTCCCAAGACCCAGAATTAGTTGTCTGAACTTGGATTTGAAATTTGATTCCAGCTTCTGTGAAATTAAACACACTTCTCTTAGCCCCTTAAGATGCAAGTTTCATTTTGGCATTTTGGGATTTTTTTCCTTCTTTCTCCTACCCCATCCCTCTTTTTTCTTTGGTGTTCTTTTCAGTTAACTTGATCTAAACTGGCTGGAAGGTGGAGTACAGACCATCCTTAGTCCTGACCCTAAACTTGGTCCCAGATCCTCTCTTTCAGACAAGACCAGAGGGGCCTAGGTTGGAAAATCTTGGTCCTGATTGGAATTCATCTCTGTGCTTGATGGAGCACACCCCTTGCTGAAGCATGTGCTTCAGACTCTGAAGAGTGACCCAGACTCTGCCACAAGCCCACAGTAGACCTTGGCCAAGTTTCTAACCTCTGAGAGTCAACCTACGTAAAACATGAGAATAAGCCAGGCACAGTGGTTCATGCCTGTAATCCCAGCACTTTGAGATGCCAAGGTAGGCAGATCATTTGAGGTCAGAAATTCAAGTCCAGCCTGGCCAACATGGTGAAACCCCATCTCTACGAAAAATACGAAGATTAGCTGGGTGTGGTGATGCATGCCTGTAATCTCAGCTACTAGGGAGGCTGAGGCAGGAGAATCACTTGAACCCAGAAGGCGGAGGTTGCAGTGAGCTGAGATCACGCCACTGCACTCCAGCCTGGGTGACAGAGCAAGACTTCATCTCAAAATAATAAATAAATAAATAAACAAACCTGAGCATAATAATTCCTGCCCTACATTTTTTGAAGGTTAGTTTCCAGAAGACTGATGAAGGCGAATGTGTACAAGAGTGTTTCAGACATTGTGAAATACTGTGCCAGCATGAGAAGGTGGTGATGTCCATATTCCCAATAGTTCTTATTTAGGTAATTGAGGGAGATTAGCGTTTGTTCACTTATTTTTTTTTTAATCTAATAAAGAGGAGTGGGAAAGAAAATCTCCTACCTCTGAGAAAGAGAGAGATACACAGAGATGGAGAAGAAAACACAAAAGGGGACTGAGAAACAGAAGAAAGAGAAAGGCAGGGGAGAAATGAGACATAAGCAAAGAGGGAGGGGAATCACAGACTGAGGAAATCAGAGACAGAAGGTGAGAGATAGAAACAAGGTCGGAGAGAGAGCCAGAGAGAACCCAAGGCTAAGACTAAGTTTCACATCTATTCCATTAGATGCAACAAGTAAATTGCTTCCAAGATTAAGCACACACCTAATATTAATAACTTAATTATTTTTTCCTCCAACTGGCTGACCTTTAACTTCCTTCTGCTTAGCTGTTCCTCCCCACTGCACCACATTAATCACCCACATCAACTAATCACTTAAGTGTGAACTAGGCAGGAGGGGCTCTGTTTGCAAGAACCAAATTGCCAGTGAAGAAGCCATTTCAGTTGCACACAGCACCTGCCACTTGCACCTAGTTTGTGACAGGCATATTTCCATGCTGTCTCCTGGCGCGTCCACCTGATCAGCATCTTAACCTCACTGCTACCCCCAACCACTGGGCTGTCATGTTGCGCACTGAATAGGCTTGATACTGAACTGATCCAGGTAAATTGGATGACAGCCCAAAAGCTCCAGCCAGTGCTCAGGTGAGGTGAGGTCTAATCAAAGATAACTCTTTCTTTATGCTTATGCAATATTTCTGACATCACATGTGTTGGTTTTCCACCAGGCAATTCTCTAGTTCTCTGCACACGCCAACTGGGTGTCCTACAATTTAATTCTGTCACTACCCAGGGTTAGTGTAGACCTCACAGGTTAAGGATTCAGTCCCACAAAACTGCCCCTACTTCAGATACCAGTCCCCAGCCCAGGCATCCCAGACTTCTGGCCAATCTGCTATAAATCAGGGGTTCCCATGACCCCCGCCTCAGGCTTGGTAATTTGCTAGAAAGCTGACAGAACTGAGGAAAACAGTTTACATTGCCTACTCTTACTGGTTTATTATAAAGAATGCAACTCAGAAGCAGCAAGTGGAAGAGATGAGTAGGGTAAGGTACGGGGCAGGGACATAGAGTTTCCATGCCCTCTCTAGATGCAAAACCCTCCCAGCACCTCCACATGTTCACCATTCCAGAAGCTCTCCAAACCCCATTTAGGAGACGTCATTATGGAGACGTCATTATGTAGGCATGATTTAATCTTTGGTTATAGATGATTAAGCCAAGTTCACCTATAACCATAGCTGACAGTTCTTCCCACATTCATCTCCCCTCTCCTGCTTGGGGGTGGGGCTGTATGTTCTAACCCTCTAACCATATGGTTGGTTGCCCTGGTCTGTGACTCCTCCCAGAGTCACTGCATTAGCATAAACTTGAGTGTGATTGAAAGGAGCTTATTATGAATGGATGTTCCTCTCACCCCCAATCTCTCAGGAAATTCCAAAGGTTTCAGAATCTCCATGCCAGAAACCAGGGGTGAAGACCAAACACGTATTTCTTATTCTATCCTAATATCACAAATACCAACCTGCCAAAGGCCTAAGAATGATACACCCACTTCTGACAAAGTGATGTTCCCTTCTGCTTTACAGATAAAGGTCAGGGCCCACATTTGTGGTGGGAACATTAGTCCTTAACCCTTAATTGCCAGATGACTTTTCCAGCTTCCAGGTCCTGCTGTTGTGCAAATCATCTTGAAGACTGCTTATTCAGGGCATGCTCATCATGACCTCCACTAACATTGTGAAAAGAAAATAAATCTCAGGGCCCCAAAATCACTGAGTCAAGGGAAAAGTCAGGCTGGGAACTGCATCAGGCAAGGCTCCCTCCCATTTTATTGCTAAATAAGATGACTACAAAGGAAAAAAAAAAACTACATACCTCCCTCACAATCTGCCCACAAGGAAATTCCTTGCAGACAAAGGACAGATAGAACTCGAAGTCATCCCTCTGAGACTCACCTGAGACAAATGTATATCTGATTTTTTCCTCTGCCCTATTGCTCATGTAAAAATGCAGATTCACTGAACCAGAGTAAATTGTGTATTTAGTAGAAGGCTGATCCAGAACTCAAAAGAATTCAACCTTTTGTCTCTTATCTACTTCTAATGGAAGCCCCCACTTCAAGATGTCCCACCTTACCAGACAGAACCAATGTACATCTTACACATATTCATTGATGTCTCAACTCTCCCTATACTGTATAAAAGCAAGCTGTACCCTGACCACCTTGGGCTCGTGTCGTCAGGACCTCCTGAGGCTGTGTCACAGGCGAGTCCTTAACCTTGGCAAAATAAACATTCTAAATTGACTGAGACCTATCTCAGATATTTTGGGTTCACAGCATCCCTCTTAATCCCCAGATGGAAGTGAATAGCCACACACCTTCTATTTGTCTCTTGCATTGCAGTTGCCCTGTCACACACATCTTGCTCCTCACAGCACTCCTGTCATGCTGATAAGAAAGGTAAAGCTTGGAGGAGTCCATAGGTTGCCAATTAGTACTCGTAGAGCAGCTGCTTTATGCCAGGTCCTGTCTGAGGCCATCCACAAGCCACAGCATGTACGCCTCTGACCTCCGTGGCAGGTAGTTATGATTTACTCCCAGTTTTCAGGTATGGACACTGAGATTCAATGGGTTTAGTGGCTCAAGCATGGTCGTGTCTTAACTAGACAGCCAAGGCTGGGACTGCGACTTTGAGTCTACATTCAGGCATAGCAGACAGATCTTCCTACATTCATCCCTAAAGGATTTCAAATGTAGATTTGTTTGTGAAGGGAAAAAAGCTCATAGTGGGTAAATCAGGTTTATGCTGACCAGTAAGAGCTTTAAAAACAAAAATCTGGTGCTATTTGTCTATGATGAACAATATTTTTTTATTTGCCACATGCCCTCTCTGTGTCTTCAATAAGATGGGAGTACTGGCTGCTTACAGAAGAGAGTTCTAAGAAATCCAAAGGCTACTTGTACCAGTATCCTTACTACAGGTGTCCTGAACAATGAAAATTGTTTTCCTAAGTGAAACTAGACTCAAGTGGTTTGTTCTACCCTGTTTTAGTCATCCAATCTGTAGAAGTGTTAGCGTGACTTTTTTCAAAATTCCAAAAGCAACCCAAGGAGATAATAAAACACCATCCTCTGTACTGAAGTCTGAGATTCACTAAAGCTGAAGACTGCAGATTGTGGTGTTTGATTGCCCTAAATGAAAATGTTGGAAGATAAAGAATCCCCTTGGCTCTAACCTTTAAGAAGCAAATCATGCCCAGAGGCAAGGAACTGCAGCCAATCTAATATATTCTCCCTCTGCCAAATTCCACATTCTGCAAAAATTCTCTTCTTCTTAACTGTGTTAGTGAAGAAAACAATCAGAAGGAAAATGCTGGGTCCATCCTGAGGGACTGAGAGTGCAAAACAAAAACTCCAAGTAGTTCAGTTCCCAAACTTAAATGGTTGACCCTTTATTCTCTGTGTGATATTCATGCATCTTGATATTCAAAGTAAAGGTTGGTTCTAATGAACCATGAATTGTGTTGTTAGTCTCATATCAGGCAAGGCCTTTCTAAGCACTTCCAACTGCAGGGTCTCTGTTTTAGGAACCATCTGGAAGACGTTTTTGGACAGTAGCACCATCTGATAGGCTCACCACCTCCCTCTAACACCTAAATACAACAATGATCCTTCATGTCCTTCTTTCTCTTCTTAACTGAATTGAATGACTACTCCATTTGACATCCAACATTTCCCATGTGACATTAACAGAATGATTATAAAGATTGTTACTTGTGCAAAAAATATGCAAAGATTTCTTCAATTTTCTCATGGGTCTCTATGAATCCTTTGATATTCCTATCATGCTCACTTGAGGCATTTTTCCAGTTTTTATGGCTATGTAACAACTTTCCCCAAAACTTAGTGGCTCAGAATATCACCTATTTTGCTCACAAATGGGCAATTTGAGCAGGACACAGTGGGAATAGATCACCTGTTCTCTACTCATCCCCAGCTGATGGAGTCAGTCTGGGAGCTCTGTTTCCTGTTGGCTTGTTAATCCATACATCTGGCATTTCAGTTGGGAAGACTCCAACAGCTGGGGAACAAAACAACAAGCACTCCTTAAGCTTCTTTCTCCATTTCTCTCTGATCTCACCACATGGTCTTCCCAGCATGGCAGCTTCAGGTGGGTCCCCGAAAGAGAAGGCAGAAACCATTTCACTTCTATAACCCAGCTTGTGAAGTCATACAGCATCACTTCTGCCATACTCTCTTCCTTGGAAACTTCTAAAGCCAGCCCATTTGCAGGAAGAGAAAGATTAGGCTCTACCTTTTGTGGGAGGAATGTCAAATAATTTGTGGACATGTTTTAAAACCACTGAAAGCATCTATCACATCATATTGTTAATTATCTTTTCTGATTGTTAGCTGGTTCAAATTCACCAGATCTATTTGCCAGTGGTTTTATGGAAGTTTGGTATGTCAGTTCCATGAAGGCTGGAAGAGTCAAGGTTAATCTCTAATACTTAGTACCTAGTAAATGGTACCCAATTTGGATACCCAAGTAGATCCCCAATAACTATTTCTTAATGACTGATTCAGCAGTTCCCCAGTATCACTTTACTCACCTTCATGAAATCTTGCATCCTTTAAAAACTTTGCAGTTTTCCAAGAACAAACCAAACCCAAAGCTAGCAGAAGAAAAGAAATATTGAAAATCAGAACAGAAAAAATGAAATGGAAACCCAAAAAAAACAAAAATACAAAAAGCAATGAAACAAAAATTTGGGCCAGGCATGGTGGCTCAAGCCTACAATCCCAGCAATTTAGAAGGCTGAGGTGGGTGAATCACTTGCGGTTAGGAGTTCAAAACCAGCCCGCCCAACATGATGAAACCCCATCTCTACTAAAAATTCAATCATTACCTGGGCATGGTGGCACACTCCTATAATCCCAGCTACTCAGGAAGCTGAGGCACGAGAATGACGATCCTGGGAGTCAGAGGTTGCAATGAGTTGAGATCTGTGATCTCACCACTGCACTCCAGCTTGGGCAACAGAGCCAGACTCTGACAAAAAAAAAAAAAGGGGGGGGATTCTTTGAAAAAGTAAACAGAATTGATAGATCACTAGCTAGATTAACCAAGAAGTAAATAAGCTCAATTAGAAATGAAAATAGAGGCATTACAACTGACATCATGGAAATACAAAAGATCATTCAAAGCTACTATGAACAATTCTACACAAATAAAGCAGAAAAACTAGAGGAATGGATGAATTTCTGGAAACATACAACCCCCCTAGCTTGATGAATTACAGAAAACATATAAACCCCCTAGCTTCAATCAGGGAGAAATAAAAATCCTGAAAAGACCAATGACAAACACTGAGATTGAATAAATAATTTTAAAAATCTGCCAACAAAAAAAGTCCCAGGACCAAATGGATTCACAGCCAAATTGTACTGGGCATTCAATTTTAGTATATGTGCTGCTGAAGCGAGCACATCTACCAGACATTCAAAGAAGAATTGATATTGATATTAATCCTACTACTTCTTGATAGTTTAAACTATTACAAACTATTCAGAAGGAAGGAACCCTCCTTAACTCATTCTATGAAGCCATGTCAAAGCCAGAAAAGAACATAACAAAAAAAGGAAACTACAGACCAATATTCCCTATGGACATGCATGCAAAATCCTCAGCAAAATGCTAGCAAAGTGAATCTAACAACTTATAAAAATATTCACCAAGTGATCAAGTGGGTTTCATCCCAGGGATGGTTCAATATATGCAATTCAATGCATGTGATTCATCACATAAACAGAATTAAAAACAAAAACTATATAATTATCTCAATAGATGCAGAAAAAAATAATAAAATCCAGCATCCCTTTATGATAAAAAGCCTCAATAAGCTAGGCATAGAAAAAACATACCCCAAATTAAGAAAAGCCATATATGACAAACCCATAACCAATATCATACTGAATGGGGAAAAGTTGAAAGCATTCCCCCTAAGAACTGGAACAAGACAAAGATACCAGTTTTCACCACTTCTATTCAACATAGTACTGGAAGGTCTACCTGGAGCAATCAGGTAAAAGACAGAAATAAATGGCATCCAAACTGGAAAAGAGGAAGTGTAACCATCGCTGCTCACTGATACATGATCATTTACATAGAAAGCCCTAATGACTCCTCCAAAAGATTCCTAGATTTGAGAAATTAATTCAGTAAAGTCTCAGATTACACAATCAATGTACACAAATCAGTAGCACTGCTATACACCAACAACGAGCAAGCCAAGAATCAAATCAAGGACTAAGTTCCTTTTACAATTGCTACCAAAAAAAATTATAAAATAAAATATCTAAGAATATACTTATGCAAGAAGGTCAAAGCTGTTTATAAGGAGAATTACAAAACACTACTGAAAGCCATCATAGATGATACAAACAAATGGAAATGCATTATTGCTCAGAGATTGAAAGAATCAATTTTGTGAAAATTATCATACTGTCCAAAGCAATCTATAGATTCAATGCAATTCCTATCAAAATACCAATATCATTTTTCACAGACTTAGGAAAAACAATCCTAAAATTGATATGAAACCAAAAAAGAGCCCAAATAGCCAAAACAATTCTAAGCTTAAAAAATAAATCTGGAGGCATCACATTGTCTGACTTCAAATTATACTACAAGGCAATAGTAACCAAAACAGCAGGGTACTGGTGTAAAAGTGGATATATAGACCAATGATACAAAACAGAGAACCCTGAGATAAAGCCAAATTCTTATAACCACCTGACCTTGGGCAAAGCATACACAAATATAAACTGGAGGAAAGACATCCTACTTAATAAACGGTAAGTTAAAATTTGGCAAGCCACACATAGGAGGATGAAACTGGATTCCTACCTCTCGCCATATACAAAAATGAACTCAAGATGGATTAAAGACTTAAATCTAAGACTTGAAGCCATCAACATTCTAGATGAAAACCTAGGAAAAACTCTTCTGGACATTGGTTTAGTCAAAAAAATTATAACTAGGCTCCCAAAAGCAAATGCAGCAAAATGTTAAATTAAATATATGGGATTTAATTGCACTAAAAAATTCTGAACAGAAAAAGAAATAATCATCAGAATTAACAGACAATCTATGAAATGGGGGGATATATTTACATCAAACAAAGGCTGGTATCCAAAATCTCCAAGGAACTCAAATAAATCGGCAAGAAAAAAAATAAACGATTAAATTAAAAAGTGGGCAAATGATATGAATAGACATTTCTTAAAAGAAGATATACAAATGGCCAAAAAGATAGGAAAAAATGTTCAACATCACTAATCATTAGGGAAATACAAATTAAAACCACAATGAGATACTACTCTTACCCCAGACAGAATGGCCATTATTAAAAAGTCAAAAAATGATAGGTGTTGGCATAGATGGATGTGATGAAAAGGGGATGCTTATACACTGCTGGTGGGAAGGTAAATTAGTACAACCTCCATGGAAAGCAGTACAGAGATTTTTTAAAGAACTAAAGGAACTACCATTTGATTCAGTAATCCCACAACTGAGTATCTACCCAAGGGGGAAAATAGCCATTATGTCAAAAAGATACCTGCACATGTGTGTTTATCATAGCACAACCCACAATTGCAAAGATATGGAATCAAACTAAGAACCCAAGAATTAGATAGAGAAAATGTGGTATACATATACATCATGCGATACTACTCAGCCATAAAAAAAAGGATGTTCTTTTTTGTGCTATGTCTTTTGCAGCAACTTGTATGAAACTGGAGACCATTATACGAAGTGATGCACTCAAATGGAAAACCAAATACCGCATGTGCTCACTTACAAGTGGAAGCTAAGCTGTGAGTATGCAAAGGCACTATGAGTACACAGTGATATAATGGACTTTGGAAACTCATAAGGGAGGAAGTCGGGAAGGAGGTGAGGAATGAAAACTACCTTTCGGGTACCATGTATAATACTCAGGTGATAGGTACATTAAAATCCAAGACTTCACCACTATACAATTCAACCATGTAATTAAAAAACACCTGTACCCCTAAAGCTCTTAAAATTAAAAAATTAAAAACATTTAAAAACATTTTTGTAGTCTTCCTTTGTAACCAGTTTTCTTTGTGTTTTTATTGTATCATCTGATGTTAACAACTTGGGACAATCAATAAGAGACTAATCAAAAAAGGTGTCAATGAAATGAGTCAAGATAATACCTAATATTACCCAAGGAGGAGATTGCAGTAGGAACTAATATCGTAAGTGGTCACTTCGTTTTGAAGCTCTGTTCCCCACATGGAAGCTCGTAGCTATAGGGTCCAGATCATGAAGACAGATAGCAAGGACTCGCAGAATACCTTTGAGCAAATCAAAATCCCTTCAGCTTTAAGTTTCCTGGCTATGGAAAGGCATTTCCTCTCAAGTTCTTTTTGAACTTGATGTTAGAACTTAGAATTTTAGATCAGGGTAATAGATCTAGATAGGCAGATATTTAGCATCCATGATAGCAAACATAATTAATAATGATAATAGTACCAATGATGTTTCAAATAACTGCTGATGGGGCCAGGCACAGTGGCTCACACCTACAATCCCAGCACATTGGGAGGCCGAGGTGGGAGGATTTCTTGCAGTCAAGAATTCAAGACTAGCCTAGGAAATAAAGTGAGACCCTGTCTCTACAAAAATATCTATGTTTTTGAGGGGAAGTAAACTGGGGTAAGGTATCCATTGTGGTTTTAATTTGCATTTCCCTGACGATTAGTGATATAGAACATTTTTTCATATATGTTTTTGGCCATTTGTATATCTTATTTTGAGAAATGTCTATTCATATTATATACATATGTATGTATACATATATAAGCCAGGTATAGTGGTGCATGCCCATAGTTCCAGCTACTTGGGAGGTGGTGGTACGAGGATCCCTAGCCCAAGAGTTGGATGCTGAAGTGAGTTATGATCGCACAACTGCACTCCAGCCTGGATCGCAGTCAAAGAGGGTCAGGCACATCTAGCCACCTATTAAGATGTGTTTGAGGAAGTTAGTTTAAAAACTGGTCTAGACCACAGCCAATCACCTCACCTTCAACCTCCCCTCCATCAGCAATCATAGCAGGGTGAACAGAGCAAATCTGTGCATGTGCATATCAAAGGCAGATCATAATTTTCTATTTGAGTTATGAGCAAAATGGGGA